TGCTTCTGTAGTTCTACGGAGAATGTCATGGTGTGCCGGCGGTGGGGACTGTACTCATTTATTAACTGCTTTGGGTAATACGGACCTTTTAACAATATTAATTCTTCTAACCTACGAACATGAGAGGTTTTCTTATCTTCATTTTCTTTCATCAGTGAAATAACTATAGGTTTCTTGTTGGTGTTGTCTAACTTCTGTTACACAGCTTTATTGTGATGTAATTTACATAACTTTCATTTTTGGCAGTGAGGCAGCGGCCACAAAGTCTCCTCTCTGCAAGGTGGGGTAAGTACATGGGAGGTAAGAGCCACCCATCAACCTTAGTGAAAAATCCGCAGCACTGCCATCCCGCAAGACACCGTCTTAGGCTAATCTCAACATCAGCAGCACATTCATCAACAGAGGAAAATGAGCTTATCCTCAGCAGACTTCTGTAAGCGACTGTATATAGTCTCTATAACTAACGAACAGAGAATGCTTTCTATGTTTAGGAAGGAAAAATGTTAATATGACCTAATTCACAGAAATACAATTAATACTTTATCTTCTGTGAGAACCACTGTATTTATAGAACAACACAGGTGAGTCTGGCCAAAAAAAAAGGGCTCACTTTTATTCTTGCCTTTTCTATCAATTTAGAAAGCTCTTCGGCTCATCTTAATTGAAAGAGCTACAAGACATCATTTTAAAGGTTTTTATGCCATGAGCTATGAAAGTTATATCCTCCAGAGTTTCAATAAGAAGGCATGGTGGTACACTCCTATAATCCTGGCACTCTGGGAGGCTGAGGTGGGAGGATCAAAGGTTCGAGCCCAAACTGAGCAACTTGGTCAGGCCCTGTCTCAAAAACAACAACAACAACAACAACAACAAACCCCTACAGAACCAAAAAAGAAAAAAGGATTGAACCCAGGGCCTCTGCATTGAGTTACATCTCTATAACCCCCCAGGGTTGGTGTCACCCAAGGAGAGATAGGCCATTTCACAGACAACTGACACCAGAGCCAGCACAGGTCCAACTAGAGGAGGAAGGTCAACCATGGTCTGGATGTGGGGGGTTCCCAAGGTGCCTCCGTGGAGTGTCCTTGGGGGATTAACACAGTGCTCCTGGGACCCCATCCCACGTGTTTTTGGTCTCTGGCTTCCTGTCTCACTCAGCAATTGCCTGCCCCTACACATGCTCCTGCAACTGTAATACCGCCCAGCACGAGGTCCATCCCACAGCCCTGCTAATGCAGACACCATGCTCAGACCCGAGAGAACAGTGAGCTCCAAGAACCTCTTCTCTTCCTAAAGTAACCTGCCTCTGATACTCCATTCCAGGAAGAGAAATGGGCTAACACACACTACATCTTCATGTGGGAAGATGACAGGAATCTGCTGACCTCAGTCACTGCAGTGAGGGCTTGCAGTCACTCTCTGCTGCTGGGGTGCACATGGCTCCAGCAGAAGCCTGCTGTCACTCTCTAAGAATGCTTCAAGTCCAAGTAGCAACATCTGGAATCTGAACGAATCAGTAACAACTGGACACAGAACAGTACCTCAACGGGATGCAAATAATGGGGAATTTACGTTCCACTCAAGTAGACCAATTCTTCTCCGTCACCCCTCCTTTTGGTGCAGGCCTGGGACTCTATCACCAGCTGCCTTTCATAAACACACACACCCTACCACAGACATACGGGAACCAAGACAGCGTTGCTGTGGCACAGGGCTAAGTCAATCAGCACAGCAGAAAAAAGTTACATTTTCTGTCAAATTGTCTTTGACAAGGGTGCCAAGAATAACAGGGCCTCTCTTTCACACAGTTATGAAAATTAGCTCAAAATGGATCAAAGACTTAAAACTAAGCCAAAACTGTAATACTCTTGAACACACAGGTGTAAATCTCTGTAACTTAGGTTTCTTAGAAAAATCCCTGACAACACAGGTAACAGAAAAAACAAGAATGCGAGATACCACTCCTCTCTTTTTTTGAGACAGGATCTCACTATGAACCTTAGGCAGGCCTTAAATTTGAAACAATCCTTTCGAACAGCCTCCTGAATGCTGGGACTACAGGCATGTATCACCACACCCACCAGCTATAAATCTTGTTCTTTGAAGGACACAGTCATGAAAGACAAGTCACAGATGGAGAAAATACTTGCATTCCTTTATCTGATAAGGGCCTCAAATCTAGACTACACAGAGGGTTTATGAAGTCGGTCCAGTTTCCAGTACTGGGCAACAGCCTGGGCATTTCTTCACAAAAGACACAGAGCACATGAAAAAACGCTTAACACAACAAGCTGCCGTGGGAATGAGGCTCAGAACCACACGAGGCACCACTCACCCCACCAGGGGCTGTGATGACAAGAGATGACCACAGCATGGGCCAGGACGTGGTCACAGCAGCCCACAGCCACTGCTGGACACTGTCACTGTGAGCTCCAGCACCCACGTTGTTGGCCATACACTCAAGAGAAACACAAGTGAAAACAGTCCCAGTGCCCACCAACGGGCGAAGGACAAACGACCGACAGGCACCAGTCCTCTCCCCTGGCGGGCAACATCCCCGGGTGCTCCAGTGCTTCTCCACTCTCCCCCTGCAGTCCCTCTAGCCCCATACATGGGCCCCACTTTCAAGACCTGGTCTCTGCTCTCCCTGCCCAGGCAGCCACAGGGCAAGACTGAAACCCACCCAAAACCAAGCCATACCTCGACTGCTTCTGCAGGTCCCTTAGCCCAGGCCCCTCCGCTCAGGCCCTCACCATCCTCCGCCGGGAGCCCGAGCCCACAGAAGCCACCGGTTCCTTTTCTCGTTCTCACACTGCTCTGGTTTCCCCCTCCTCACCCCAGAGTAAGTGCGTTTTATCCCAGCATTGTGGTGAAAATGACACAAGGACAACTCATGAACAGACAACCAACATGCAGCAACAGGAGATGGAGCTCTGAGGAATGTCGCAGGGGAGGAACCCTGAAAATGCGATGCTGAGCGGGTGGAATCTGTCCCAGCAGCCACGTGGCACTCGCCATACCTGGCCGCAAGAGTCAGTGCGGTGCAACGTTCTAAGATGGAAGCCACAGACCTGTGTGTGAGAGAGGTAAGCCATGCAGCACGTGAAATCATCCCAGGAAGCTGGTGTGTGAGTCCAGGGGCTGCTGTGCAGCCCACCCTGCAGCAAGTGCAGAACAACTAGCTCAGCCATGCTCATCTGAGACCTGCATCACTGAGCCAGTGCCTAACTCTTTCACTTGGGCCTTGTTCTCTCACACCCACGCCCCTCTCCCTAAAAACACAGTTGTCTCCCCACATCCGTGTGCTCAGAGCCCTGCTACCCTGCTACCCTGCATGATGCTTAAACTTTTTATCAAAGAGTGCAAGGCCTCATGAGTGGCTGCCACTTTTTCTACACCACCTTCTCCTGCGAAGGGTCAGAGAATAAATGCGTAAGCTCTACTGACTCTGCAGACACAGCAGACAGGAAAACATGCTCACGAACAGGCCTCGCGCAGGGCTGTGGTGTTGTGGACACTGTTCCAGAGTCACTTCCAGCCACTGTGGGCTTGTGGGAGCCACACGCACTGCTTACGGTCCTTGCCATAACCCAGTCTGTTTCTAAAAATGTGCTGGACAGGTGACACTAAGTGTCAGGTACCTGTCTTCTACTGTTTTAAAAACCTCATCCCAGACTCTTCAAAACACCCTAAACAACTTTCCCAGAATATAAAAGGCTTTTACCTACCGATAGAACAACATACCAAAGACCATGAATAACATGAAACTAATTCTACTGGATAATAACCTTAGAGGCGGGCACTGTGTGCACCTTGCAGTGACACCTTCGCGTACCCGAGTCGTTTCTTTCTGCTGCCCTGCAAAACAGCATGCCCCAGGTGAAGATATGTACGGCAACAAGGAGAAAGAAATGCTCTGAATTGGTCCAGGCTACATGGCAGAGTCATGGCTTGGTGCCACGTACGCAGTGGTGGAGAAGGAGGGCGAGACCTTCTGGAAGTACATGAGCCTGTGGCAGCCCTGCTACAATGGACTTGAGTGTGGTCTCCTCCGCTCAGACCGCAAGGTTTTCTAACTGGGCTCTGACACTGAGACAGTGCCTGGGGTAAACAGACCTTCGTCATCCTCGAGTCCTGAGATCCAGGAGCCTGAATACTGCAGAGCCAGGGACACCTCCCAGATGCACAGAGCCTCTTGCATACAAGCGCCACCATCCCCTTGGGAATAATGCGTGATTCTTACCTGAGTTTCAATAGTTTCAGGACAAGTTTTGGCTCTGGACTTTACTGGAATAACTGCTTAGCCACAATGTTCTGAATTAGTAACTGTCAACATTTACTTAAAGTGACTTTGGGGGACCAGCTGTGACCTGCCCCTGAGGCATATCCCTGGTCTAGAACAGGTTGTGTGCACCCTCGTCTGGCTCCTAACTTGAACCACAAGGAACAATGAACAGAATCTGAAATATCTGCTTGCCACATAATTAACTGTTCCCCTTTCATTTATAGAAGGCTGAGCAAGTCTGAACAGATGGTCGGTAGATGGAATGTCCTGGCTCTTAGGGTCTTACCAGATTACCATCCTCAAATGTAAATATTTTTATTTGCACAACATATGGAACATACTTAAATCATACTTAATATGGTCTTCCCTCTCACAGTACTTTAGACTTACTTACTTTCAAAAGAAAAATAGTAAAAAAAAAAAACAAAAAAAAGAAAAATACTAAACCATTCACTTTCACCACTACCAAGAAAGTGTGAGAAGTTTTAAAATATGTACAGTATGATGTTTAAACTGTAGACGACTTCTGTAATGCTCTATAAACACACCAATCACTTTTATGTGTGCAATTACTGTGCATGTAATATGTACGGAGGAAACGTAATCACCATGTAAATAAATACTACTTAGAGGTCACCAAAGTGAGTTAACAATTACGCATTCACACAGAGAAACTGGACAGCATCTGAGACTATTCTCACAGAGATGACTTTACCTTTCCCAGCATCCTGCCCAGGAAGTAGTAATGCCTGGCGAAAGAGTCTCCCACAAGCATCTGCGCAGCGGGGCTGGGGTACAGAAGCCCTTCATTAGTAGTCTTAAAGAATCCCTGGTTGGGGTTAAATCCTGACTTCAAGAGTTCATTTAAAAACTCTCTGAAAATACCACCACCATCGATGCCGGCTTCATCCAGGCCATGGGCATTGAGCAAGTGCACACGGATCCGCTTTTTCAAATCAGGCTCTATCCAGAAAGGGAGACAGAAGAGGAAAGATGTTACAAGGAAGTAATAAAATAAACTGTCTTACAAGTCTTAGGGAAGGCCACTGAGACTGGTAGGGCTGCTAGGGACATTTTCACAGAAGGCACAACAAGGCAGTGATATTAAAAGGCAATGGGGGGCTGGGGATTTAGCTCAGTGGCAAAGCGTCTGCCTGGCAAGCGCAAGGTCGTGAGTTCGGTTCCCGGTACCGGAGAAAAACAAACAAAACAAAACAAAACAAAAAAACAACAAATAAAAGGCGATGAGGAGGCAGGCTAAGACTTCCCCAAGTGTACAGGACAGAGAAAAAGCAGGCCCCAAGAATGGAACTGGAGGAACCCCCAATGCCAAAAGAGCCAAAATACCTCAAAGCAGAGGAGTGGGACTAGGGACAAAGGGCGCTACTAGAATGGATCATCATCCCCAGGACACTGGTGCTGCACGGCACCACGTGCAGTCCCCGCACAGGACACTAGCTCTCTGTACACTGTGCAGGAACCAGAGAGGCTCCCCCCGAAACACCCACAGGGACAGCAGTGCAGGCATCTGTGTTAATGAGCACACCTCCCTGGGACCCAAGACAATCAAATTCACACTTGTGGCCAGAGCTGGCCCTCACTGCACCCAGGGTTAATAACAGCCACCACTGATGGTTTCACCGGTGAGATGTGTGCTGGAATTTTACATGATTACATCAAAGTCCTAAATATTTTACAGTAAGTAAACTAAAGCTTAGATTACTCCACTTACGCTGAAGTCACGTGGTTAACACTATAATGGTGAGTGACATAAGTGTGTCTCCTACCTACAAAGCCTGGGCTCTGGTCCACTCAGACCCAGTCTTCTACAATCTCAACTTCTGTTTCTATGTGAAGGACATGCTTTTCACTGATAATTCTATTCTATAAGCATATTATTTGCATCTGTTTTGGTTAATATGATTACAAAATATGTTCAATCTAAGTTCTAGATAAAATGCCAAAAGAGATCTAATCAGCTAATTACAAATGCAATACAAAAATATATTTGGGGGGGGCCAGGGATATAGCTCAGCGGCATAAGTGCTTGCCTGGCAAGCCTGAGGTCATAAGTTCGATTCCCACTACAAAAA